ATCATAACTTTTCTACCAACAAATTGCATTCATGAAATTAATTTTAATTCTAAATTATAATTTAATTGTACAACATGGATATATTATTTATAATTTAAATATATTTTATAAAATTTGATTTAGTTTTAAATTCATTCCATTCTTTTAATAACATTGTGAGTTTATAATTTAACTTCTTATTATTTATTTAAATCATTATTTATTATTTTATACTTGTGCATCCAGGGGAGGAGCCAAAAAATTTTGTTTGAGGGGATCGAAAAGACAAAGCATATATGATAATTATATATATATATATATATATCACTAACATAACATAAATATTTTAATCTATATATTTATATTTAATTTTACACACACACACACACACATATATAATAAATATACATCTTTATTTTTTAAGTTTTACTCATTAATTTTTCATGATATAAAAATAATTAATTATCATATTTATAATGATTAATTATTCTTTAAATTGGGCAAAAATTTCATCTTCCCCATAGGCATTGAATTATTTAAATTCATTATTGAGATCTAAACTTTTGTTCAATAAAAAAAAACTCTATTTCTTTGCTTATTAAATTTATTATTTAATGCTTTCAAATGATATATTCTTCATTCAATATGTCTTGAAATTTTTGTTGCAATGCTTTGTAAAGTTTATTAGTGATAATTCTCATAATTTATTTCATTAAATATAAAATAAAAATAAAATTAAATGATATGAACGCTTTAGCAATTATAATGTTATCTTGTTGAAAATAAATAGATCTTGTAATTATTATATCTTCAAGCTACTACAATGATTGAACTATGTATGCATAAAAGGTTACTATAAAATTGAAATGAGAATTTCTTTTAGTATTTCAAAGCTTCTATAACGAGACAACTTAAAAGGACTGAAAATATATAATCTTTATATTTTATTAAAAAATTTAAAAAATTAAGAGTCCTGACTCCACCTTTATGTGTATTGCATGAGATATATACTAGTTGGAGATTATGGCAATACTACTCCCTCCCCTCCGCTTTCTTTTTTTATCAACACTTCTCTATTTTACAACATGCAACACCAACAAAATGTTGGTAGAAAAACAAAAAACAGACAAAACGTTGGTGAATGATTTGAATTGTAAGAATCTTTGTAAATATTTTTTAAGTCTAAAAATATGTTTTAGTCCTTGCGAGTCTTTGGAATTCAATTTGTCTAAAATTTCACTTTAAAAAAAAAAAAGATGCAACAACAAAAAGTTTGTGGTGATAGGCAAAGCATTGATTTTTAAGATTGAGCAGACACTTGTGTATTTTATGTCTTGCTTTACGAATAACTTTTTATACAACATAATAAAAATAATAATCTAGCACTCTCTGCGTCTCTCACGCGCACACGCACACGTGTGTGAATTAATGCATGTGTGCGTAAAAGTTAAAGGGTTCGTTGTTTGTGGTTTTTCAAGCGGCAATTGTGAGTGGAATAATTATTGCGGGTGGATTATTGTTTTAGGGATAAAAATGAAAAGGTGATGCATAGAATAGAGTAGACCTATTCAAATGGCACTCCGATGTGTACACCTAAATTTTTCAGGTTCATGGTATTCATGTCTACAACGTCATACATTTTTTGGGGTCCACAAACATAACATAGCGTAGACCCTAATGACGAGACCCAAACCTGAGAGCAGGCCTAGAATGGGGGAAAAACTCTCACGCTCATATCCTCCCAAACTGCCACTTATAAACTATGTCCACTCTTGGCAGGCGCAAGTCTTTAATCTATCAAGAGTGGCAAGTGCAAATCAACGTGCATTAGTTCAAGTAGTTAAGGGCTTGAATAACTTTATTTAGGATCTTATGTTTGAGTTTTAAGATATGTATCAGTGCAATTGAGGATTAGTCCGAAATGAATTGGACGGACAATAAATCTAATATACCCAAACACTTTAAGATACTAGGTGCAAAAGGGGGAAACAAAAAGAGTGACAGTTGCAATGGCAAAATATGAACTTAATGGCTTAGCTATTTTCCAGCCGGCTCCAATTCACATACAGACCTTAGTGCAAAACGAGTCTTTGATCTCAATCCCCCATGTTTTAGTGTTTTATTTATGGGCTTGGCCTTCTTTTATGCCAAAAAAAAAAAACAGTATTTTCCTCTCAGGCTCCCTTGAAAAAATTAAAATATCAGGTGCTTTGCAAATTGGCCAAAGCAACCAGAGATCTGTCACATATTTAACCAATCAATTACTAGAATTCAAAAGATTCTAGTGCACAATTGGCATATCGAGTTAATAAATCCAAGGAGGGAGGCTATCGCAATCAGGTTGGGACCCCAACCCTGCACCTGGGCATGTTAATTTGATGATGGAGAAATAACATTTTTTTATACAAAAAAAGTTTAGGTGAATTTGATATCAAGGGTTTACTAAGACTAAAACATGTCTGAAGGCTCAAATAATGTTTATAGAGATACTTACAAACAAATTACCTATCAATAAAGTTATTATATCAGCAAGGGGATTTGATTTCACTATCTTACAGGTCATAACTCAAATTTTTACTAACTTAATTAATCTTTATTGACAAGAGGAATATAACACATTTCAATGAATCTAGTATTACTCTGTGAGGCACTAGACCTCATGGTCATATTTAATACTCCGGGAGGGAAAAAAGGACAGAAAGAAGACGGAAGTAGAACCTATAGTCAGCGAGGGCAGACATAATAAAATAAAATTTGTTGAAAATAGATTGGAATGGAAGCAAAGGGACGTGACACAAGGTCAAAGCCCACGTAATTTGGCATAAGCTCTCCTAACCATTTGGATTCAAAAAAAAATTAGCCTTCCTGATTTGAGTGGAAAGTCCTCCCCACAAACCAAAAAAGTTAAGATGGGAACCATGACTGCAACTGGCACCTATTCCCCCTCTACCAAACATAGACTATTAGAGGATAGGAATTGTCTTTTGCTTCTTGTGCTACCTCATTTTTTTTATAAATTATTTTTAACTAATTTATCAAAATTAAATTGAGCTAGTTAAAATAATAAAATTATCTTAAAAATAAGTTACCTTTTAATTTTGCTCATAAATTTAAAATTTTTTTATATGTATTTTTGAGAATTGAAATAATATACTTTTTTAAAAAAATTTGCTAGAGGATAATTTTGAAATTGTGCATCAAAAATTACCAAAAAAAAAAACAAGACAAAGTGATTTATATAAAGAATTAATAAAACCTTCCAAGATATGACTGATAAAAAATAACTAGAGAGAATATATGGCATCAATGAAATCTTTTCATTAAATTTAAATCTTACTGAAAAGAGGGACAACTTAATTTAATTATCACTTATTTCGTGTGAACAAGTTCAAAAATAGTAGCTAGTTAGCAGCCTCCAAATCTAGACAAATTCTCACATTTAACTCTGCCTCGCCTGTCCAACATTCCTTATTTAATATTAGTGCACAATAAAACTTGCATATTTGATCTTCTTGGTGTCGCATTAACAACATTGGTAAGGACATGAAGGTGGAATGCCAGCTGCTTCAAAACGGATCTTCTGATTATCTATTATTACTTTCCATACTTATTTTCCGTATCCCCTCACAAACAATGCTTTTAACAAAATAAAAGATAAAAGAAAACCCCTTGATTTAGATGATCGTGAGAGGATGTAAAGAGATATCGTGACAAGCGGCAGTAGAAAATCAAGATCCCTCCAAAAACAAGATTCTGTTCATTATTTGGTTTGATTTAACTCAAGGCTCGTAGGTTTCTGCTTTTTTAGCGCGAGTCAAGAGTCACTTCCGTCGTTACCTTTACCGTCATCAGATTCTTAACAGGGCGCCGGACGTTCACTCATTCATTCCCTGGGTGAGCAGAATGGGTGGCGTCAAATATCCTGCAGAGAGAAAATTAGTACAATATCTACATCTACCTATATTCTATATTCTACACTAACCAACTTTTTCTTTTTTTTTTTTTACATATTTTTTACATATTCATTTAAAAAAACTATGTACATTAATTTTTTATGTCCACATTAATCTCAAAATAACCTCGTACCAAGCTCCCTAGCATTATGCCAAAGAAATTGCACCCTACGCACCAAGAGTGTGACGTGAGGATAATCTCGAGGGCAAACACATGCCAGCCACAATTTTTAGTCATTAATCAATACTGAAAATGAATATCACATCAACATGTAACCGGGAGAGCAAAACTGCCAGTTATTTTTCATTGCAATAGTAAATGGCTTTGGTCTCGCATAAAAGTCACTATAGATAATGTACACTGGGTATGATGTACAACACACTAGTACCAAGAATAAAATAACAGAACTAATCCAGGGCAGAAGACCAACCTAGGCAAGTTGTTTTTGAAGAGAATGACCTAGTATGGGCTAACCAGAACTTGATGAATTGTCGGCTGCGACTGTGACACTTTAAATAGTTGCCACTAGGAAATCACTAAGATTATCGACAGAAGCAATCAAGCATTGGAAAATCACATCCAATAGATCATGAGGAGTCAGTTTAGCATTAAACTGATCATCGTATGTCACCACATTGTCTAGTGCTTCTGCTACTGTTTAAAGGAGTAGAACTTTGACTTGAGAGTTGAACATCAGAAAGAGAGACGGTTCCACCTTGTGATAAAATTAAACTGACAGAATTGCTTGAGCCATTTCCAGAGGATGGCATTCTAGTAGAAAAAGATTCCACTTTTGAGCCTGACATCAGCTCTGAAGATGCTGTTGAAGGAGCCAGGGTAGACAGCAAGGATCCAACAGGGTATGGAGTTACTGGCATATCAATGAGAGAGGATGCTGACGGACTGTATCTCAGAGACCCCAAAGGATGGTCAAATTTGCAAGTAGAGCCAAACTTGCAATGCCCGTTTTGTAAGTAAAAACCACAAGGTTGCACCCCCTGTTTTCTAGAAAAGGAATTAATTAAGAAAAGTTCCCAAAAGAAAGAGCATTAATTGTATTGCTGCAAAAAAACATAAGAATGTCATTAAAACTTGATCTTCATGTTGTTAAATTACTTTGATATCAAAGATGAGAAGAAACAAAACTACTTAATGATGCAAACCCATTTACAAGTCACCATTCAGTTATGACTAATCACCATTCAGGTATGATTAACTAATGGAACGTAACTACAAAGCATATGTAAGGAATAATTCAATATATGAAGTGGAATTGTAAAGCAGGAAAGTGCAAGCTCAGCAAATAACTTATCAACACCAGTTACAATAAGAGAGGAAAAAAGAAATTGTAGTGCAGTCTTTATCACATGAATGCAACAAAGTGTTCCATAAAACTTGACTAGAGTTATTCCTTTGATGCTGAGATACGAAGCGAATTCTCTTTCATAAGACTCGAGGAAAACAAAGCTTCATTCTCAACAAATTATATCAATCAACCAGCAACTGTTGGAACCCAGCCGTGATTCGGTATTATTTTATTATTCAAAAGCTGAGATTCACTTCAAACCACTAACGCATCACTTAGAAATGGAAAACAACAGAGTAAACATGTTTAATGAAAATATTTAAAATGAATACTTAACTCAGTAAACAATCAAAACAGACACCGCTTTATCCTAGACTTATGCAACACTTAAACTAATCACTAAAACCACTAAAATAAATATTAATAAAATAATAACATCAGAATAATTAATTTCCACGTAAGCCCCTAATTTACTGTGCACGTGACTTTATGAATTGGTACTCTATCAAAGAATAAGGATAAAGCTCAAGAAATTAAAGAGTTTCAGTCACAGACAGCTAAAAGGAATTATTGAAAGGACTCTCAGACAATTGTTCTAGTATTCAAGAGGCTAAACTCTCCTCAACCAATTGCCTACTTCCTACACTCCCCTATCCTATTTTCCCTTGTCAGAGTTAGTTACAATTCCCCTGACCTTTCCCTTCTCTCTCTCTCTCTCTCTCTCTCTCTCTCACACACACACACACAGCTCACCATTTTCTTTCGCACAATTCTTTCTCTAAAATATGTCTTGGCATTCTTAAGGATATTCCTGCTGGTTGTGAGGCGCTCATTTTGTCTGACTATAGTGGGGGTCTGTCCCACTGATTTCTAGCATACTTGAGTTTCCTTTTGTCTTTACTAGCACCTGCTAGTCCAGTTTAAAAAAATATGTCTTGGCACTGGACCAAATCCCATTAGCATCTCTAATCACCAGAAACAAAATGATCCAAATTGACAAGTCCAGCTATAAATAACGACCCCACCATACCTGGGTGAACTCCAATATTATATCTATAATCACCTCAATGGCGTCAAATAATATCCGGTAACATTGAATTTTTTTCATATCTTATGATCTCTCAAAACACATATTCCACAGAAGGTTTGCAAATGATCAGTCAGGGCACTTATTTTCAACAAGTACTTAGCGTCATATCAAACAGTAAAAGTAATAAATACCAAGACCACATTTACAGAATAATAAAATACAAAGAAAAGGCTATGAAAATTCTGGGGAAAACCATATAAAATTATAAATGATCTTCATGATAACAGCCAAGCATTTAATTGCAACGAAATTATATATTAGTTTTGAGGTTTATATTAAAAGAACAAAATCCAATTTCTAGGAAAAGGGGGAAGTACCCCATTTTTTAAATGCGACTGAAGATTATTAGCATCCTTCAATACTTGTAAAAGCAACTAACTCCAATAAAAAATAAATAAATAAATAAAGTCATAAATATGCACAGCTACTGAAGTGGTATAAGTAAAGCTATTAGACTTCAGCTCAAGTCACTACAGTAGTTAAGAAAGCAACTGTTTTGTTAACAAAATTACAGCCCCAAAATGTGCTAAACTGTTTCTTGCGTTCTCTACACCATAACAAGGCAAAAAACCCGAGCGCTACCAAAATTTATAATGTTGTACATGTGCATAAACCTCCGACAGAATATATTCACATCCACACTCTTCTTCAGTCAAGCACTCAAAAAATAAAAAAAGTTAAAGGGCAGAAATGCCTTAGAACTTTTTCTCAAGGAGCGCCTGATATCCTAAATTTCTTTTAAAGCAATTTTGTCCCAGACCATTCAAAAAGAGAACAATTTTGCCCTATCTGCCAGGTGGCATCCACCTGGAATTAAAAAAAAACCAACAAAAAATCCAGCTGGACCCCAAATCTGGTGCTCAGCATCTTCAATCGAACTGTTTCTAAAGCTCAACCCCTACTCAAAATGGGTGCTCAGGTGGCTCAGTATCCTCACATAATGGCTTCCCAGTCTGATGTCTTCTCTATCGTCAACTACCCTTCTGATGTGTGTTCACTCCTTCCAGTAGACCCCAAATCTGGTGCTCTCTCTAGACCTATCTTCAGTGGAGTTCTCGTAGACATGACTACATCAGAACCCTCCCTTGCTGTGGAAATAGCTTCCGCTGCTGCCTTCAAAGGCTGTTACTCCATTGAAAGTAAGTTAGTAACCCAAACCAAATTCACAGCCATCTTCATCTCCATCATGGTGCTAAGAACAGATTTACTCAAATCCCCATATCTAATCCTCACACATAGCAACTAATCATAGAAGGAATCAAAGTTCTTGCCACTCAAAACCTCTTTTCCCCTTTCACAGTGGCTAGCGACGCTCTTCTCTCCACCTGTAGCACACCTTCAATCTTCTCCTTACTGGTCAGGTTTTCATTAGATCTCGTCAGCACTCCTCTCTCGTTGTTGGTTGACACACTTTGGCGCTCTTCCTGAAGCTCAAGCTCTTCCATCATTAACGATGGATGAAGAAGCTCTGTTTACAGAGGCGTCACCAGGTAACTGAATCAAGATTTTTTGTTTATGGACTAATTTGAATTGAGATTGATTGTGGAAGAAAGAGACGACTGTTGTAGCTTATTCATGAAATGAACAAAGAGAACATTTTGAATTTCTTCTTTTTCTAGTGTGTTTCTAGAAATAAACCATGGATTTGTTTGTGTTGAATAATCAGTCCACCATTCAGACTTCGATTTATTCAAGTAAAAGCCATATCCATCTAGCCCAAGAACGCTGGTTTAGATAATGCTTTCAGATTTCTCCAAATGCCTATGAAGATGGTGAAGCTAAAGGAGGCAAAGGGGAATATTAAGTGGAATGAAGGATCGTCGTCCTTTGATTCTCCTTTTTCTTCTTTTTCATCTTCACCTTCGTTGCTATGGTCTTGTTCATCAGGTGTGAGTAACCAGTTGAGAGCAATCGATTTGGTCCTCTCTTTATCTTCCTTCTAAATCCTCTTCTCCCCCTCTTCCTTGCCGCCCATTCCCAGTGGCTATAGCTCCAACCTAATCCAATGCTCGCTTTTCAGATTCAATGGATCTTTTGTGTCTATTCAAGGTCTATCAGTCTTAATTGTTATTCCTGCTATTTTCTTCATTTGTTAGTGATCAAACTTCTTCAGAAACTTTAGAGATAGACAGAAAGAAATAATACTCGGGAAATTTGGTATTGAGAAGAATGATTGCGTGGATTTTTTTTATTTTTCAAATTGCCACATGGCTGCCAACCTGGTAGCTAACAGTCAAATAACGGTCAACATTGAAGACAGGGTAATATTGCATTCTTTTTTAAAGTTCCGGGATGATATTGCTCAAAAAAAATTTCAAGATACCAAGTGCCCCTAAGAGAAAAGTTCCAAGGCATTTTTGCCTTTTTGCCCAAATAAAAATACACATATTTACCTTGAAGTTCTCTAACAAATTGAAAAGTTTGCAGAAATATAACTGAATCGAGTTCTTTTATCCATAGCATAGACATAAGTGATTGAACATTAAACACACAACTGTGAAACCACCCCAAAAGAAGGGGGGAAAGGTCAAACTGACTCACACATGTCACAATATACCAAATAAAAACTAACAATAAATTCGTTCAAAGTTTGTCCAGAAGCAAGATGCTAGACATGAATAACAAAACCGGAAAACAATGCATACCATCAAATATCGAACATCCAATCTAGCATGTAGCTTAAATTTTAACCAATCATCAGAGGAGTATGAAGCAAGTTAAACATATCTTTGAAGCATGTGACCATACTTACCGGACGTAAAGGAAGGCCAATGGGACTGAGAAGTGGCCGAGTCACAGTCCGGTCCCTAGGATGATGATATCGACATGCAAATCCATATTTGCAGTCCCCTGTTCTTAGATAGTATTGGCATTCAGGTTCACCAGGCCTTTCAGGAAATATTTGTTCCTTCAGGCTACCACCTGAAAGGCCAGTAGTAGATGGAAGAGGAGCATACGGTCTAGCAAAAGCTGATGTTGTTGAAGACAACTGGGTCACTCCATACAGAGAAGTAGCCCCAACAGCAGATTGAGCACCAGGAGATAACACAGGACTCAAAGGTGCCTATGCCAATTGCACAATTTAATTATCCCAAGATAGAGAAAGTACTGAAGAACACTGAAAACACTACTTAAAAAAGAAAGAAAGAAAGAAAGAAAAAGAAAGTAACGATGACTAGTGCCATAATTCAGAGCAATTATACCGTATAATGACTCCATCCTGCAAAGGGAACAACCCCTGGAGAAAGAAGGACAGGACCATAAGCCCCTTGCACATATGAACCAGGCAACATTGAAGGCCTAGCTACTCTCAAACTGTTGGATGCCCCCCCATACTGTTCAGCTAGAGGGACTGTAGGAGACTGCACCTGTTGATAAAACTGAGGTGCAGATGCTGGCATTGATGCACCAGCAGGATGAGGATGATGGAATTTACAGGTCATGCCAAATTTGCACTGCCCCGTTTTCAAATAGTAGGAGCATTCTTTCTCACCCTGCAAAAATTAACACGTGATTTAACTATTGCATGATTCACCCTCAATTACACGAGAAGGAAGAAGAGTCAAACCGGGCGTAACGGGTATCCATGAATATTTAGTGGAGCTTGACTTAATGATCCACCTCCGTGTTTTGGATGGTGAAATTTACAGGATGCACCGAATTTGCAGGTCCCCGTTTTTAAATAATACTGCTCGTGAGAAGAGGTCCAGATTAGTCCAACCAGCACAAAGCTATTTTAACTACAATGTAAAGATAGCAACAACAATTGGCCAGAGAAAGTGAAAGGTGAGGCAATTCCAGGAATATACAATGCGAAGATCATAAGGAACCATACCTGACATGAAGGTTCCCCCACTCGTTCTGGGTACTCCCCTGTAGCTCTAACAGCAGCTGCTACCTGAGTAGTTTTGGTTCCATTGAGATTCATATATTTAAATATCACATCTCAAACCCGAAGATGGTAAGAAAACTTATCTATATCCACTCTCTTGTTCCTTTTCCTCTTATTAATGAGCATTCATGCAACATTAAAAGAAAAAAATCATCCTCTCAACTGATTCTTGTTTGAAAGATCAATTAACAGTGACAAATTCAAAAATCGGTTTCCTTGATAATTGGTCATTCAGACAAAAAATATGCAAATGGGGGAAAAAAAAAAGTAGGATTCCAAGCAAGATTTATCACGGGAAAAAAAAAACTACAAATCTCGATCACTTAAAAATTGAAAATTGATAAAGGTTTCAACACGTTCTACTGAAGTCAGCGGCAAGGAAAGGGTGTGTCTACTGTAGAAATATTGATAAAGCATCAGGGAGACACTGACACTATGATCGGACCAAAAACAACTACTTAAAAATCACAAATGTATACCGCGGCACGATCACGGGGATGATTGTAACGGCACCTGCTACCGTATCCACAGAACCCAGTTCGCATGTAATACACACAATTGGGTGCACCGGGTCGCTCCGGGTAAGATTCGCTGCCCCTCATGGTTAAGTGCCACATGGATTCTACATGAATACCAAAATTGAAACATAAAGGGTCACAAACTCCAACTTAACTTCCGCATTAAGGAAACCCTAACAGAGCTACTTGGTAAAAAGACCAAACATGATGCAAAACGAGGAAAGTTGAAACTCATAGTTAATCTAAGCACCTTCAAGCCCAGTTTCGCCGCCTGATGGGTGCCATTCAGATGGATTACCCGGTTGCGACCCATTCCTGCCCGGGTTCCGACCGTACAACTCCATGGAAATGATTTTACTGAGGATCCTGTACAACTCGCAGAATTTACAGGCCCGAAAAGGTACTGCACAAGAACTTCACAGTGGTCTAGAATGTTCTGAGAAATCGGAGACGCTGTTGTTCCTTGCTCGGCTGCGTCGCAAATCCAAGTGACGGAGATGCGAACGGAGTCTCTGCTCTTTCTTTCCTCCTCTCTCTCTCCCCCCCACTGGCTCGCGCACACTCACACACCCTCTCTAGGACTGTAGTGTACGGTCTGGGTTTGGGGTTGGGTTTCAGCTTCTTTCTTTTTCTTTGTAATTTTAATTTAATTTTTAAATTTCCCGTTTTGGTTTTTGGCTCAAGCCTTGTCCGTCCGCTTTGGTCGTTGGGTACCCGCCAAATCGCGCGCGAGGAAATTGTAATTGAGAAAATTATATTTAACACCCAAGCATGGGGCATTTTTTAATCTTATATTTAAGTCTTAAAAATCTGGTAAAAGTACCTAAAACTCTCTTAAACTTTGATGATAATTAATTTCACATGTAAAATACTCCCTTTATTTAAAAATATAAGATATTTTTTAATGAATTAAATATTTAAAAATATAAAGTATTTTTATTCTTTCAAGGTGTAATCATTACATTTCTTTCAAAAGTGCTCCTATTGATAATGACTTTATATTTATTATAGGATATTTAATAGGAGTAAATATAAAAATATAGAGTTAATTAAAAAGTAAGTAATTATTTTATTGAGATAAAATTTAATTAAAAATATTTTATATTTTTAAACGGATAGAGTAACATAAACCATTTACATTGATATGATATGCCTATTATTAGTTGATATTGATTGATTATCTATCGACATTTATTCATCACTGTCAATTTATAGGTTAAGAAATTACTTTTTATTAAATATTTTTTATTTAAATATATTACAAACTTTGTTCATTTAAAGTAAATATCTCAAATATATAAGTCAACTTCTTAAATTTGCAAGTCAACCTCTTAAAAACATTAATGTTTCAAAAAGTTTACTTGTAAGTCTATAAATTTTGACTAATGACTGTCAAATTTATTAATATTTTGACTTAAAATTTATCAATACAAAAATTAAAATATGTATTTTCTTCAATCGATTCTTCTACTTAATAACTAATCAAGGAACATCAACCATCGATCAATAGTCAATGTTAGACAAAGACAAAGGATATATCGGCTATTTTACACATGAACTTAATTTCAACCAAATTTTGAAGAATTTAAAACTATTTTAATAAATTTATGAGATTTATTTTTAAATTAGGTCTCAAATAAGGGACATGAATAAAATTTTCCCATTTTAATTTTCATAAAATAGTTTAAATACAAGTTTTTGACAATGGGAGCGATAACCCACACTCTCTCTTTCCAAATGAAGCAAATAGCTTTAGGTTTCTGAAGTCATGAGTTATGAATTATTATTGAGATGTGACAAAAGCAGGCCTTGATCTTCAGTTCTAAACGGATATATTTATAGAATTGGACAACTTTGTCATTTCAACTTCCAGGTGGCCATCCTTAGCTCTTATTTTGTTGGTCTGTTCAAATCATTTTATTAATTCCTACTTTATTAAGAAAGTGAAATTACGGATAAGACCCAAATAAGGAACCTATTTACAAATTAGTCTTATAAATTTGTTTAATACAGTGAAGTATCAAGGCCATCGGATGTCATTTTTCACACATATAAATAAAAAATAAAAAAACAAATTACCACTTGTTCAAATTTTACATTTAAATTTAAAATTGATAATATGAGTCAACCTATTGATAGTAGGTTGACCAGCAAAGAGTCACTAATAGAGTGGGTTGGCATAACTCACATTATAATGAGTTGTTTTTTGCCAAACCGCCATTAAAACATATTTTTTTAATTTTAAAAATTATAAATTCATTTTTTTATTTTTTCAATTTTGAAAATTGAAAAGTTTAATAGACATCTTAGATCTTAAAAGATTACGCAAATAGCATCCTGAATCTTAAATTTTTAAAATATGTAAAAAATTTTTCTATTTCTAAATTTTAAGTACTTGAAACTTTAATGTTAAGTTATGAAAAATGATTGTTACTTTTGTAGTGCAAATTTTGTTCAAACTGCCTTCTCTCTCATCACGTGTAATGGTCAATATTCAACCAATTAACATTAGGGTTTCAAATACTTAAAATTTAAAAGTTGAGAATAGTTCTTACATATTTAAAAAAATTATATAATTGGATAATGTCCAGTGCTCCATACATGCTTTAGTTTTTTCAATCTAGATATAAAAAGTATTAATCTGCTATTATTGTCAAGTTTTATTGATTCTTGGTTACACTATTAATTTCATTATTCTTTTATACAATCCATGATGTTATTATTTAATGTAACAAAAAATATAATTGACTACACCGACATTTGTAAATAATAAATTATATGACTCATTTATTAATTTACTTTTAATTTATGGGAGATATATTAATTTTTTGGCATATTGTATGAAGTTGAAAACTAATTTTAAAATTTTTTCTACTGATGTTATTTTTATATCTCTTTAAAATTTGATTTCTTAACTCACTTGCCTGCCTATATGCTTTGAGTTTGAGATAATTTAAGAAAATTAATTTTAAAATTTAACTGAGAAATTAAAAGTCATTGTCCATTAAGCAAGAGAGAATTTGTTTTCTCAACTTATTTAAGATATATTAATATTTTTTTCAATTGAAATCTCATCTAAATTTTTCATATCAAGCCATACTTTGTTTTTATTATTTATTTATATGGCTACACAACACTTTTAATTAATGGTATACATGAATTGGATTGGCATTTCCTAATCCAATGCCCTGCCTGATCTGCAGTTTGGGTTAGCAAATACTCAATTGTTAGGGTTGTGCTTCATTTAATTTTAAAAAATAAAATATTTTTAAAATGATAAAAGAACTTTTGTCACAAAACATAATTATCCTTACTTAAAATAAATTTTATATGAAAACAATATTATAATGGAAAGTAATAATTTTTTAAAATTATATATAATTAAGAAGTATTTATTATTTTTATATATTACTAACTTAAAATTACTTTAAAATGTTGAAAATGGTTAAAAAATTAGAATCATAAAAACATTAATGACGATGATAAAAAATAAAATGTCGCATGAAATATATTAAGAAACATGATATTATAAAATAGTGTGTGTGTGTGTGTGTGTGTGAGCCAGACATGACCCTAGCCTCGTGCCTAGTCCAGTGACTCCAGATAGTTCAAGCAGAGGCAAGCATTCTGGAACGTTGAGCTCGCCCAACCCTACTTTTAAACTTTTCCTTAATTTTTTGGACGAACGACAAAAATTTTTTTAAAAAAATCAATTAATTTAAATTAAATTTTAAATATCAAACTTTAAATAATTATAACTCAATTTTTTAATTTTACAGTTATGATAAATTTATAATTTATTTTTTAAATGTTAATATGGTTGAAAATAAAAAATTATTTTTTTCATTAAAACTTGAAAAATACTCCTTCCATTTTTATTTCTAGAAGAAATTATCACTTTTTATTTATTTTTTTATATAAGTAAAATCATCTATTTCAATAAACATTTATTATATATTTTTTAAATTATTTTTAATAATTTATATTAATAAAAAATAATTAATACGTACTTATGTTTATTAATATAGGGTATTTTAATTTTTTTTATTTTTAAATATTATTATTATGGTTAATCAACTTTTTTAAGTGATGTGATACAGTTTTTTTTATATATAAAAACAGAGGGAGTAAGTTACAAATTTATTATAATAAAAATATAAAATTAAAAGAATGAGTTATAAATTTTTAAAATTTAATATTTAAAATTTAATTTAAATTAATTAATTTTTTTAGATCATTCCTCCCCTGGCTTTTTCCCCGCCAAAATCGGTTGAGGTCTCGAGAAGGACAATACTACAACTGTACAAGGCATTTGTTATGCTGTTACAGTAGGATAGTACTATGTTAGAATAAATTATTCCAAACAGATCACCAACGGTATTCTACAAGAAGTTAAATTGCATTAATTAAATAGCATTCATTTCAATATAATGATTTAGGGAAGCACAATTTAAATTCCAAATGCAAGTTCGGTGGGTATCAAAAGTTAAAACTGAACAGCACAAATGTATTACTGAACATTAACATTTTACTTAGTAATACCCGTTGGTTTTTATACATGTAATTTTTTCACTACTTTTATCCATTGGGTAAGGGAATGATATTGTACGAGTGTGTAGGTGGTTGGTCTGAATGGGACCAATAATATTTGAAATTTTTTTGCTCCCATACTTCTCCCTCACTCTTACCAGTTTGCTCTTTCCTTTTTGGGTTAGAAGCTTTTTTTCCTCACATTGTTGACTCCAATTTAAGAAAAAAATCAATCATTTAATCTTTATAGTTTTGATCTAATTATAATTTAGTTTTTAAATTTTGACTCATTATGACTCAGTCTTTAAAGTTTTGACTCTGTTATAAATCAGTTCCTGAACTTTACCTCTTATAATTTAGTCCTTGAAGTTTCAATCTCTTAAATATTTTAAAAAATAAAATTATAAATATTAAAAATATTTTAAAATTTTAATATTTATAAATATTAAAAATGTTTAGTAATTTAAGATATTAGTAATAAATTTTAAAATATTTTTAATCTTTATAATTTTATTTTTTAAAATAAATGGATCAATATTTTAGAGGTTGAAACTTTGGAGACTAAATTATAAGAGGCAAAGTTTAGGGACTAATTTATAATAGAATTAAAAAAGTTCAGAGACTGAATTATAATAAGTCAAAGTTTAGAATTGAGTTACAATTGAATTAAAAATACATAAACTAAATGATTAATTTCCTTTAAAAAAATATGTTTTATCTTGAAGAAGGTTCATGTTGGCCTAATAATCTTTAAAAACAGCATCATATGAAATCACATCCATTGTGTTTCACCATAATAAAAAAAATCTTAAAATTTATTGATTTTATCTAAAAAATTTAATAAGTTTTTAATCTTTTTTTTTTTAAAGAAAATGAGGCAAATCCCATACAACTAGAAAGCTAAGACATAAAAAAGGGACTGAAACCCTCATAGAATCCTGACACAATAAAGAAACGAGTTTTCTTGGAGGCATCTCAAGAGTAAGGCAATTATTAGGTTGGTCTACATTCTTCTTCACAAGTCAATCTATATATCTATTACCTTCATTGAAAACATTCTTAACCACAACATCAACACCAAGATTAAGAACATCACATCATGTCTGAGTTGCCAGAAATCTGTTTGTCCTAAGGTAAGGAAGGATT